TGTCTGTTTCTTTTACATCTGTGAATCACTCTTCTATTCCCCCTCTTGAATTCTTCTCACTTTGATGTTCCTCCTACCCTCTGTGAAGCCCGAAGTCAACTAAAGAGCTAATGATGATTATCAAAACGCCTGCCATTTGTTATAAATAAATCATTTTGAATGCAAAAACAATGGTGCACACATTTCATTAATCTTAATTTTAAATCAATTCGAATTTGTATTTATCAAGTAGTTTATCTTAATCCTGCTGGCAAACTTGACCTTCTGAGTCGGTTCAGGAAAATGACTCAATAAGTTAGTTCACGTAAATGCAAATCAGAATTTTGATAGCACTGAAATATTCGTTCGCATCAAATCGACGCGCGCAATTCCTAGCGTTACACTTACCTCGCAAGTGAATTTTTTGTCGGGAAAGTTTATATTGCTTTCACTTAATTGAGGAGATCATATTGAAAGAGCTGAAGAATATCTACTGTGATTGTCACAGTGATGAAAAAAACATAATTTGAAATTATTTTTGATGAAATAAACGGTCGTGAACAAGATTTGTGTTCAACTAGTCAATCTGAATTTTAGTTTTATGAGCATTCAAGGGGGAATCATTTCTAGAAATATTTTCCAGACCCCAAATTATTAGAAGCTAATTAACCGGGATGTTTGCAGTTCATTAGGCGAATGTGAACCACATCAGGAAATTTGTATATTGAACTATTTTATAGCACCTCAGTGGAAGTAGTCAACTGTTGCTTTTAGTTCAAACGGATTGAATATTGTTTGGCTCGGGCAAAAACAAGTGAATAAATAACAAAACATATTCAAAGGAATCTTAGTGCTTAAATCATCTATTGCGGAAAAATTGACCTTGAAATTTTGAATTTTTCCTACCTTTGCTTTTAATGAAAATAACAAAAACAAAAATGGAACTTTTTATGCTTCGTGATGAGATCTGAGAAGATAGCGAAAATGGCGGGTGGGGGAGGTTGGTTAAGCTGGAACGCTCTTTTTCCTTATTCTATTATTGTTTCTAAGCGAAACAACTTATTCTCCTAAAACAGTGAAACATATTTGAGCATATTTAGTGGCAATTTTATGATTCTTTTAAAAAATTTAGTACTGTGGTAAACTCTCTCGCCAATTTTGGCCAGTGCTGTGTTGTACTTGCGGTAATTTAAACAACTTCAGATTCAGGTGATGATAAAACAGGCACAAATGTTTCTCACGCTCAAAATGTTCAAATATTTGTGCGGAAGTCCTTTGTAGTTGACATCATATAAAATGACATTCACCCATCCCCACCCTCAGCCCTCACCGACCGCCACCACCACCTCTCCATGGTTAATCCACTTTCCAAAATTTCACCAGAATAGACAGCGTCTCACTCCCTCCCCCCCCCTTTATGTGTAGGTCAAATTATTTCTCGAAGAAAAATCAATATGCGTCAAAGTATAATTTGAAGGTTACGTTATCTCATTTTTGATTTTAATGGTTGTTTTTACACAAACCCAATGTTTTTTTTTGAAAATTCCCCATACCGTTTAGTTATTCTACATATAAATTCGATAATCCTACACAGATACATGAATTCCTTTCCTTCAATATCATCCATGACGGCTATTTTATAAATTCTGAGTGATAAACTATTGGCATGAAGTATGATTAATAATAATTTGTACTAGCAATGTCATGTTTGACTAATTTTGAATATTTGCTTTCATTTTTTTCAATTTATATTGTTAATCTATTGATTGGTATTCAACATAGCGGCAAGTCTGGGCAGTTTTTGAATATGAAAATATTTTGGAATTTAAAGATAAACTTGACATTATTGCACTCTATTAAATATCTATTGATTTTTCTACCAAATTATTGTATATTTTGAAATAATAATGGCCCAGAACTCATCGATTCAACTAAAGTGCACGGATATAAAAATCGAATTCTCACTTGTAGCGGACTGCTACACCAAATAAGCCTAGACTGAACTCAGTTATCTCTACTATCGATGAGCCTCCCAAACTAGCTGCTATTGCAAAGCTATGGAGGAAAGAGGCGAGCGAGAAGGGATACGTTTATTTACTACGTAGCACGTCAGTCGTGTGTGTAGGAAGGAACTTAGTCATTATCAACATGGCGAATCCGGTAAAACAAATGGGCGTCCCTGATTGGTTAATGTCAGTGAGGTCGCCGCACCTAATCCGTACGCAAGTTTGAACGTGATGTTGACTAAGCGATGACGTGTCCCACATAACTCCCCCCTAGAGCGTTTGCGGGTACCTAAAAGGGAAGTAAACGCTCGAAAACATTCAATATACAACATTGGAAAGGCGGGAGCAGGAGCAGGTATGTGTGGAAAAAGGAGATAACCTCGGAACGTTAGATTCGGTTAATGTACAAAATCCACAAGTCGAGAGGGGAAAGTGACCCTACGGCCACAACGTGTAAAATAGGGTCGGGGAAGGTGAGGAACGGGTTGTAAACCGGGAGTGTCTGGGGAATTAACAGGTACGTGAGGAGTTGGGTGGTTAATCGGGGTAGAAGGGGTATCCGACGTGGGTGTAGTCGAAGTTTCCAAATAAGCCGGTTTCAACCTGTCGACGCTAACGGAATCTTTGATACCATTCCGGTCGAGGACGAAGAATTTTGGTTCGCGCCGTAGGACCTTGTACGGTCCGTCGTATGGTGGTTGGAGTGGCTTCTTGACTGTGTCTACACGGACAAANTGTGTCGAACCCAAAAGCTGGTTTAACTCCCGAAACAGCGTAGAAGTGAATTGGGGTCCTCTGTCTGTAGTTATAACGGCGGGGACTCCGAAAATGGATATCCACGAATCCACCAAAGCCTTCGCCACCGACGTAGCAGACGTGTTGTGCAAGGGGACTGCGATTGGCCATCGCGTGAAACGGTCGATGCAGGTTAGGATGTGGGTGTAAGAGTTCGAAGGAGGTAAAGGACCCACAATATCGACGTGAATGTGGCGGAAACGGGCTTCAGGGAGAGGAAAAACGGAGGACGAGCTGCGCGAATGTCTTTGGACCTTGCTGGCCTGACATGTGAGGCAATGTTTGGCCCAATGGCGGACATTCTGTTTTATGTTCTTCCAGACGAAACGGTCGGTGATAAGCTTAGTTGTGGAGCGAATGCTCGGATGCGACAGACCGTGGAAATGATCGAAAATCTTCCGGCGGTATGCTTGCGGGACGAATGGTCTCGGCTTGCCGGTTGAAACATCGCAATGGATCTGAATATCGGAGTCCGGTAGTGGCAAACATTCGAAACGTAACGCAGGATTGTACATGATTTCCTTGAAATCAGGGTCCAACTTTTGTTCGGTGGCCAGGGCTCGCAAATCGAGGGAGGACACCCCTACTTGGTGTAATTCCATACGGGACATCGCATCTGCAACCACGTTACGCGCGCCATCGATATGACGAATATCGTTTGTAAATTGCAGGACGAAATCCAAGTGGCGGGTTTCCCTGGGGGAGTGATGGTCTGAGTTGGTCCGAAACGCATAAATCAGGGGCTTATGGTCAGTAAATATTGTAAACTGACGACCGTCCAATATATGGCGGAAGTGCTTGACCGCCAGGTAGATTGCGAGAAGTTCCCTGCCAAATGTGCTATATCGGGTCTCAGGAGCGGTAAGCTTCCTGGAGAAAAATGAGAGTGGCTGAGTTTCGCCCCTAACCACCTGTTGCAGGACTGCCCCGACTGCCAACTGTGAAGCGTCAGTCTTTAGGATTAGACGTGTCCCATCGGAGGTGTCGAGGTGGTTTAGGGTAGTCGCCTTGGAGAGCAACTGCTTCACTTCCTTGAATGCGGATTCAGTGAGGTCGCCGCACCTAATCCGTACGCAAGTTTGAACGTGATGTTGACTAAGCGATGACGTGTCCCACACACTGTTTGTTATTCCGTTATATAATTTATTGAAAATATATAACCTCCAAAATTAAAAAATTGAGTATAAATACGGAGTTATTAAATCACGGTGCAAATGGATAATTTTGTTCTCTCCTTTATGTATCATATGTATTTTTATGATTATTAGAAAATAGTAAATCTTCGTCTTTTTGCGTCCAATTAATTATAAATTAAATAACGGCAATCTTATTTTATGCCAAAACCCCTATCATTGTAGTTCATTCAGTTCAGATGATGATTTCGCAAATAATTTGTTTTGGAAAAAGTACTTCATGTATTAAAATGATCAAATGTCAACCCAAAGCTGGATAGATGACAATTTTGTCTGAACTTCTTGTCACGGTGTCAAGAGCACTCAAATCCATTTAGCTCGTTGCTAAACCCAATCAAACTAACACGACATTACTTAAGCTGGATTTGTGACCGTGATACAACAATGCAATTATTACTGAAAGAAAAACACAATTAATTTATAATAAGAAATGCTAAAGTGTATTAATTGTCCAAGATCCGTGGTGAAATATTTAATCAGATCAATATATTAGTGTCTAAGAACACCACCAAGTCTTTTGAGCAGCATACATCCTCATGATAACATTGACTACTTATTTCATTGTGGAATTTATTTTGAACTCTCTGGCTGACCTGAATCTAGCAGTCATCTGTTAGAGCACAGATTTATCTATGTATTTGTCCAGAAGTCGTCTACAGTCTCAGATCTAAATGGTGAAAGAAATTTTGACTTTACTATTTTATTGCTCTAGTTGTAAGTAAAGCCATGTCTTATGTCTGTTCCATAAAAAATATCTTATTGGCAATAAAATTTTCCCGCTAATCCGTAAACGATTCAATTGGCTATAAGTTTCAAGGTGCCGATATGTGCTTATTGCCGTTATGAGGATATTGAGGACATGCCATAGGTATTAATAATAATAATGATAATACAATTTTACTCAAAAAATAACTAAAGTAGAAAATAGAAATTGCAGTATTTACACATAAACGATGAAATGGCCGGGTATGTACAAATGTGTCGTAATCGCCTTCATTTCGCATGATTTTTTGCCAAAATGAGAAGCCTAAATCCTCGCGGTGACGCTATTCCTGTTCCGAGATTTGTTGGTGCATCCACAGCAAGATGAGAAGATCTCCGCGAACTCCTTGCGATAATTCTCGTTTAAGTAGCCATAAAGCAGTGGATTCACACAACAGGAGAAGAGCACACACAGGAGGCAGCCAGAGTACATCAAGGTGACTTTGCGAGCGTTCATGTATTCAAGCCTACCTGATGATGTCGGTTGAGGCTCTAGTGAATTTTCCTTGGAATCCATGAATATATTCAGGACATTCAAAGGTAGCCAAGATATGGCAAATACGATTGATATGCAGGTTAGGAGGATATTTGCGCGTCTTTGACGTTTGAGTCGAAGTTTCCGCCTTTCTGTTTGATGCGGTCTCCGGAGAGACTGCCTCCTTCCACTTTTCCACAAAGTGTTCGATGCCTTCTCGTTGTTCGATTTTGGCAAAATCATAGAAACTGTGTCAATGGAGACTGAAGTCTTGGGGGGTTGATTTGTCTCCATGCAACTGTGCAAAGTCTGTGGAAATGCGGAAATAGCTTCCACTTGGGAGTCCACATTAACAATGCGAACTTCAGGTGGTTGATTTGCAGTTTGGTGGCTATTTTTAGCGCGAACCAAAGCCAAACTGCGAATTCTTGTGCAAATGCGTATATACACAGCAACAAGGATGATGAAAGGAACCAGGTATTGGAAAATCAGTGTAAATATTCCGTAAGCATATTTGAAGCGTTGGAAACTAGGATCTAGAGGTATTGCATCAGCACATATTAGGCGCACTTTGATGGATGAAATAAAGGTTGGAGTAGATGTCACAGTGGAAAATGCTAGCATGGGGGTGGCCATTACCAAGGCTAGCAACCACAGTGCTGGCAAGACCACGTACGGTCGATTCCATATTCGCTTCGATCGGAATGGATGAATGATGACCTTGATGATAATAAAATTAATTCAGGCTTGTAATTAGCGCTTATTTTAATTAGTTCTTTTGCAATAAGTTGCCTTTAATAGAAGTTAAACGTTTTTTAGCAAATAAAAGCATAGAAATAAAATAGCTATTATTCCAAATACTTTCAATTAATTTTCAAAAGTCTAAAGCCTGTAAATATTAACTTACTTAGGAGTTAGGAATGTTTGACTATAATGAATTATCATCATAAATTATCAGTTGAAAATGCATTTTTCCAAAAGAGAAGCGGTAAACAAAGCACTAGAAGCAGATATTTTCTATGCCTTGATTTAGGAATTGATTAATACTTAATTTGATTTTCAGAAATTTTCTATTCAGTAAATAAATCATACGAAATTTTCCACTTAGCCGTTCCTTTATTTTAGGCAAGATGGTGCATAATATTTTTGAAAATTACTTTTTCAGTAAAACGTAGTTGCTTTTGATATTGGTAGTGCTATTCGAAAAGAATAGAAAAAAGCCGTAAAAGAAAACATTTTAGAACATTTAATAAAATGAAATTTGGGGATTTTGGTCCTAAAATTAGATGGTGTAGCTACCCATAAAGTAAGTGATCTACCATAAAAGGGAAATCGTTGTCTTTTACGGGAATTTAACACTTCCCAACAGATTCCAGTTTTAATATTCTGACATGCAACCTTGTGGAACAGGGTTAAATCAATATGATACGCCTTCTATTAATGAGATATATTCCATATTTAATTTCAAAATTAAGCCTATCAGAACAAATCTAAGCACTCATTAATTGCAATGTAAATTTGATTAATTATTTAATTTTTAGACAAATAACTAGCTTAGCATGCACAAATATTCGAATTCATTTCTGTGGTGTTAATCCCAGGTTAATTGTGACTTCGCTGATATTAAAACAAAACATATAAATATTGTTAAGTGAATCAGTGATTTTGACTGCAAAAAAAGTATTTTTCATTATTAAAATAACAGATGTATCTTTGTAAAAAAACATTTTTAAAATTGCGTTGCTTACATTCGATATTATAGGTCAACAAATAAATTTCGCAAAAAGTGCTTAAAATTTATAGCAAAGTAGGAATTGACTTAAATACAATATAATTTAAATTAGAGAAAAAGTTAAATTAACCGGTCGTTTTTGAAAATATATTCTTTAAAATAATTATATCATTTAAAAACTGCTCAAACCCCGAAAAATATAACTACTCGATTGTTTGAGAAGATGCAATAAAAGAAATTTGACTTCAAACGCAACTTCTAATTTGAGAAATTATAGCAATCTGACTGGGTTGATTAATGATTTCGAAGACAGGAAACGGCAGTTCGAAGAAAAAATTTTTGTTTTAGTGATTAAAAGGTAATTCTACAAAATTGACATTCAAAAAAAGTTAAACACAAGCTAATTTATAGAATGTGGAGTTTGAGTAATAAATTATTTGATTGAATTACTACGTTCGTTGTTAATTCGCGCGGCCAAAAGCTAAAATGAGTTAATTTCATGGTCAGTAAGGAGTCTTTGACGTTTAAAAATCAAACTCTGCATTTAAAGCCAAAATCTAAAATCTAAACCTAAAAGCCCAAGTTTCAAATATTTATCCTTTTTGAATATTTTCATGAAAATAAAAAAGCCTATTTGCGCAGCTTCTATTTTTTGTGTGAAAACGACTGACGGTTGCACCAAATTTTCTCTCCCTTGCTTATTGTTACTTCCTTTTAACTAAAAAGTAGCAAGTGGCCGTTGAAAAAATTAGAGATTTCTATTTTGCTATGGGAAAGAATTTTGTCTTTCAAGCGGTATGAAACAAATTGGTGGGTTTGTGATCGTTCAAAACATAAATAGGCACGAAATGTATTTCCTTTATCATCCTCCAGTAATAATATATCTAATAACATTATAATAAACTTTAAATATAAGTTTCTAACAGCATATATATATATATATATATATATATATAAGAAGGGGTTTGCGATAGACTTACCTCCACGTGGTGCATAGTGGGCAACGTATTCTCATGCGGCAAAAAGTCAATAAACTGGTAGTTGACTTCTCACTTCAAACTACCATGAACCCTCTGGATGTCATATTCGACTACTTCCACAGTACTCACCTCACCTTTTTTCTACCTTTTTTGTTTGTCTCTTTTACATCTTTGAATCTCCCTTCTGCTCTCCACTCTCGACCTTCTGCTACTCTGATGAACCTTCCCTCTGTGAAGCCCGAAGTCAGCTAAATGGCTAATGATATCCATCTAAACGCCTGCCATTTGAAATATATATATATATAAGTATCAAATAATAAAACGAAGAAATTTGAATTCAAATAGAGGAAATAGTATCTGAATTATCTGTTTTTTATATAGGCAATCTCCACTTGATTAATTTTAAATTTTTCATTGTCAAACGTTTTTGTTCGATTGCAAACTTTTAACGCCGGATTTGACCCATAAAACCAAAGGATTATAAACATTGTTCTACACTTTTCAACAGGAACATGTCTCCTAATTTCGCTTAGTATTTAAATTGAGTGATAACGAGAAACCAGCGAAATTTCATCGCATAACGTGTTGCTTTTAAAAAAATGGTTAAAACGCCCCCGCAAATAGCACATCGAATTCCATGTTAATCATATTTTAGGCGATATACCCGTTGAATTTTGGTTTCGTGAAAATGTTTTAATAAAAACATTAAGGTCTTTATTGATCTTCAAAGGGCCTATTTTACTCTTAAGAGATCGATTTTTATAAACAAAAAAAGGTATTGCAAACAACTTAAAATACTAAAGTTAAATTTATTATTAATTAAAAAAAATGGCGAAAATGTCATCGTCTCTGTATAATTTTTATTTTAAGGTCCGGAAATAATGCTTATTTTATAACAGAAAATTTCTACTAAACAATTTTATCATTTCTGGCTACACTTTCGGCACGCATTGTATCCTATGAGGGTTGTTTCAATGGTTAAGACATGGAATCCCGCAAGCCGAAAAAACGTCTAAATTCCCTTTCCTTCTTACAGATTATATATCCGATGATTTTGGAAAAGAACCCTACATTGACCATCTCTTCAAATTATTGACTACGGTACTATGAATTCTCCCAAAATTTCGAGTAACAAATTCAAAGTTCTTTGGATTCCTAATACATTAAAAATGGCTAGGTCGAATATTGTTATTGTTAATAATTTTATGCATATCTTGTAACATTTTCTACTTCCAATGCAATTCCATTAATAACAGAAATATAGACCAGCCTATAAGCACTTTAACTTTCAATATTTCCGCTTTACAAATGCCCATTAATTTATTAAATTGAAAAATAATTGTACATCAGTACACAGGGAGATTAATTTTTTATCAACTTTTACGGAAAGATATTGCATTGGAAAAAAATAATAATTTTTTAATTGGCATTTGCAAAATTCGTAGGGGTTTGAAAACCAATTAATCATATCGCTCCTTTTGATCTGCATACTTTTGATGGGAAAACATGAATTTTTCTGCACACTTAATAATTAACAAATATTTTTAAATTCAAAATTCGACATGGAAACGTACTAGCCTTACCTCAGTGTATTGAAATTGTTCAATCCGTGCTTTGCATCGAAATTTAAGGATTGTTTTAATCATTTCGACCTTTTACTAGGCTAATGTGTTGCTCCAAATGTTTTGACTTATAAATTAGGGTACAAGTGGTTGAACACGATTAGCTAAACTTGATATTTCATTTTCAGTCAATTAAATTAAAAAATTTTGAGTCAATTTGAAGGTAGTAACTTTGTAGTTGAATTTGGGCGCTTGTTAGATGAAAATACACTTACGAACGAAATTAATTAGAGTTAATGAACTTGAAGTCTATTTTTAAGACTTCCTAAGGATTGAAATGTAGTTATTGCTATGTGCTAACAAGTTATTATTAAATATTGAGAGTTTTTAATGGTAAGATAGCAGAGATCGATACATAACTATTATAAAAAATATGCCTTTTGAGAAAAAAATGCAAGGATCCCATTAGTAATAATGTAGCCAGAAGCGATTATTTTAAAGTAACTAAAAATAAATTAAGATCATAAAATATTATATCATTAGCCCAGCATTTTTTACATTTTGCTCTGTTATCTTAAAACACGCAATATTATCACGATTTCGAATTTTACATTTAAAATATACATCATAAGTAACCCACAAAATCGGCAATTTTCATCTTATGACAATGATTTCAAAAATCTCTTTTGTTGAATTTTTTAAAGAAGTAAATAATTAAGAGCATACGTGCAGATATGAGGAGAAGTGTTAAAAGTGCTAAAGAGGTACACCAAATCAATGCTAAAATGATTAGTGTAATATAATTAACCAATCATTTATAAAGGTTAAACCCCCTAATTTCACACTTTCGAACTCATTTAATGGGCAAAAATGATGTGAATTATCAAATAAAGCGCCTGCTTCAAATAAAACTAAGTGGTTTAACTAAACAATTTGACGCCAATAATAATAATACGCGGCTTTTCAACTTGACAATATGGATCCGAAACCTCCCTCAAACCTTAAATTATCCGGAGAGAGTTGGTCACGAAAGTTTTCCGTATAAGAGGGAATCATTCGCAACGTAATTGGTGATCGAAGCTATTAACATGTGCAAAAAAAACATTACTCAAGTTTGTGGTCTATAAATTAATCGACGTAAAATAATTACAGAGTCATAAAAGTTTTGGCATTACTGAATTTTAAGTACTCTAAGGTTAAGAAAAAGGATATACAATCCCATAACTATTACCAACTTGTCTTATTATTAAAGTACCTTTAAGATAGTATACCTTGATCATGTTCAACATAATTTAATAAGCTCCTTCATGACACATGAATATGGTAAGTGTTGCATTACCCAGTTAGACACAAACTACCCACTTAATTGTCCCTTTTAATTCAAATGTGCCCCTTTTAAATATTGAAAATCCAGGTATCCATTTCCGTGGACAAAATTATATGGCAAATATGTAGTTTTTAGTCGCCTGTCTTATAATTTAAAGTCTTGTCTTAATACGTCTTACCACCTTCCTTCAATCATTCCACCAAATTATGGAACATCCAAAAGGGACATTTTTTATTTAGCGTGGCAAAATTTAATTCGCGATTCGCAAATAAAATTTATGATCTCGATTCGCGTTTCTTTTTAAACAAATGAGAATTGGGATAACGCAGGTATAGGTGAATTTAATCAATAAAAAGGTTGAGTCATCAATGCTATCGAATTAAAATTAATTGAAGCATAACCAGTTTTGCTCACACTCTCCACATACTTAAAAGCCGCACCTAGGGACAAAAAAAATTTAACTTCTCTTAAAATAATATATACGTGCTTTCTGACGTTACGAACTTACATTAAATCTGTCTAATGCAATTACAGTGATGCTCATTGTGGCAACAAAGACATTGATTGCCTGGGCGAAGGAAGTGAATTTGCACATCACTTCCCCGAATTTCCACTCGTAGTGCGCATTGATGGCGCGAATCAAATTCAAGGGTTGAGTAAAAAGGCAGAGTGTCAAATCGGAGACGGCCAAATTGACGGTGAGCAAGGTTCGTGGGGTTCGCATTCGAGGCTTTCTAATAACCGCGGCAATTGTTATTAGGGCCCCTGTCGCGCCAAATAGCATGAGTATTGCATTGATAACTATTAAGGATATTAATTCCAGAGGCCTTAGTCGATTAATTTTGTCCAATTCTGCCAACTCCTCTTGAAGTAACTCTAGCAAAGAGTTGTTTGTGGAAGAGCTGATAAGGCGAATCAATTTGTTCTCCTCATATGTCTGAGCATAAGTTAAGGGTTTCATCTCCATATTTAATTAAAAAAATAGGGCGCACTGAAATGGTTCGTAGATTACTTGTTGAGTGGTGTCGATTCCTTCAAGGCGGTAAACTTAATTATTGTCCCAGCCAATCATAAGGCCAAATGTAGCCAACCAATTACAATATCACATTCTCCCATTTGGTCTTGCGTTAAAATTTAATTTTGCACTGTGCCATGTGCAAACAAAATAACCGACTTAATAACAGGGTTTTGAGTTACAAATCCAAATTTATATCAAATGGCAGGCTTTACGATGGTTATCATACGCCCTTTAGTTGACTTCGGGCTTCACAGAGTGGAGGAGGAACATCAAAGTCGCAAAAGGCGAGCGTGGGACAGAAGAGTGATTCACTGATGTAAATGAAACCGACACAGAGGTAGAGAAAAAGGGTAAGCAGGCATATTCCAGTCATTATGATCTTTAAAAAAATATTCCTTTTCTCACTAAAATAAAGTTTTATTTTACTTGTAGCATGTTTTATCTCGGAATTTGCAATTTTGCCAATTTTTAGCGAAGCTGTTCTTTGAGAACTTGAAGAGCTTTCGTAACCTCTAATCTAGACTCTGCGTCAAGACTCAAGGTATATAGTCAGCGAGCCAACAGCCACGATTCGAAATATATCGTGGACAGCCATGTGATTGATCCTCAATTCTGCACTGCATTTATTGAATTAAACTTAATTGGCATAATTTCCTCACAGGGGTCAATTTCCAATGTCATGCCCTCAAGGGTTTTAATGGGCATTACAACGCTACGGGTACTGAAGTATTTGAATTGGAAAAATGATGAGCAGTTATTTCCAGTGGATTCGCAGAATTAGGATTTTTGACATTATATATTTTAATACAGTGAGCGCGCGATAGACTAACCTCCAAGTGGGCAACCTGGGCAACGTCTACTCATACGGCAAAAAGTCTATTATTCGGCGGTTGACTTCTGACTTCAAACTAACATGACCCCACTGTATGGCATATTCGACCACTTCCACAGTACTCTGCCTTTGTGTGACTGTCTGCCTCTTTTACATCTGTAAATCATTATTCTGTCCCTTATCGACTTTTTCTCACTTTGATGTTCCTCCACCTCCTCTTTGTGATGCCCGAAGTCAACTAAAGGGCTAATGATAACTGTCAAAACGCCTGCCACTTGAGATAAATAAATATTTTAATAATGAGTTTTATTTAAGCGAAAAGACTAAAAAAGGATTTGACATCCGTCAGCTCTGACTTCTGACTATTTCCAGATGTATTTCGATGGCTAAAATCTCATTTTTCAGCACGACAGTGTTGTTTTGGTCATTAGAACTTCGTTACGAAGCTTATTTTGAAAAAGATATGCGCACTATATTGCCAATGTCAGGAATGTTAGGTAGAGGAAATCATGGTAAAGCCAGCCTGTGAAGATCTAGCCTTTTTCGTTTGGTATGCGTCTTCAGGTGGTAGGGAAGAACTCTTCCCTTCCCCTTCCCCCCAACACCGAAATGTCGAGAATGGCAAGATTCCAGAGTCATCATTGGATGTGGAATTCTCACTGCACACTCTTAATATCAGGTCATCGGAAGAATCAATAGGTTGCACTTTTAGGACTTCCCTTCCCATAGAATGTTCCTTACAATCAACTGAAGTATCTTCGCATAGCTTAATGCGAAAAAATGAATATATATATATATATATATTGTACCCATTTTAGGAAATAATTTTCCGATCTATAAAAAATAAATGTTATTTGTTTCTACTTTTGACCCAGTACTTGGAAAAAAACATTTATATATATATATATATATAAACAAGATATTACCAATTTGATCTAATATGTATTTATTTTTTGCTCTCGTATTGGCAATAAATTTTCTATTTTATTAAACCTACTTTGAATAAACAATACAGACCATGCAGATAATGTGAACTGCGTTTTATTTTAAATAAATAAAAAGTAAATCACAGAAGAGGCTAGCATTTTTTGCGCACAACCATGTAAAAAGGGTAACAAAATCAGTATTAAACAATTTTATTGATTATATATTTATTTACAATTTTTTTTAGCAAATACCTTAAATGTCCTTTCAAATATAGTGTAAAGCGTACTTTTTAAAAATTTCCTTAAACAGGAGGAGACTGATTTGACCACTCTCCAATTCTGTGTTTATTGATCCCTGAGGTGGAACCATATTTGATCATTCAAATCTTTTTTTATGGACCAATCAGATGCGTTTAAGATTACTAAGAGTATTATGCTCCAAATAAAGCACACAATGTGTCCGTAAACTCACAAAGTGCTCAATCCCCCCCCCCCCCAACAATGCATGGAAGGCGTTAATGAATAGCTTCTATTATGACATTGTAATGTAAGTGGCAATCAGTAGCACCATGCCTAAAAAAGGCAAATAAATTGCTAAATGGACTTCCGCACCAAAAAAAGCAATCATTGATTCGTAATGAAGCTGAACGTACTTTCCATGCAAATGGTGCTGGCTATGAGTTTCGTAGTACAAAAGCGTTAGTGAAAAATACTTTAAAACTCAAAGGCATGTACAGATCCCTCTAGCGGAGGTGAGTTGTCCGCTCTGTTCCGGGTGGTGAAGCTTGAATATTGCGAATGCAATCTTCACCAATGAGGGGTGTGCGATAGACTTACCTCCACGTGGTGCACCCTGGGCAACGTATACTCATACGGCGAAAAAGTCTATCAAACCGACAGTTGACTTCTGACTTCAAACTGCCATGATCCCACTGTATGTCATATTCGACTACTTCCACAGTACTCACCTCACCTCTTTTCTACCTTTCTACCTTCGTCTTTGGAACACCCTTCTGTTCCCTCCCCACTCCCTCTCGACTTTCTTTCACTTTGATGTTCCTTCCCCTCTGTGAAGACCGAAGTCAACTAAAGGGCTAATGACAAACATCAAAGCGCCTGCCATTTGATATAAATAAATAAATAAATCTTCACCAATGCTCAAGGCGTAAAACGATGACCCCACTAATATGGCATTGAAGCTCTTTCGAGGACTGACTAAGCAATTCAATACTTCAATTTTCAAGAAAAGTCTTTTCTGGGCTGGCTTACCTTCAGTTCCAGCTCATTGTTGCCACCCCCTCCCCTCTCTCTCCTCTTCATACCTTTTTGAAACTGCATTATTGCTTCTACTCCAATCCTATTCAAGGCTGAAATCGGCAAGTTTTTACGCTTTAATTAAGAGGAATAAAGTTGTAAGCACTGGGATAAATTCGCCACTGTTGCCTTTATTTCAAACCAATGGTGTTTATTTAGCTGAAAGAAAGGATATATATATCTTTTTGTTGGTATAATAAATCAATTAATTTCATTAACTTGTCAGTTAACTCCGGACATGACATGAAATTTCCCGTGTAAAAAATTTGTGCACTCCAGAATTGTGAAGAAATAATACTTTTGGTGGTCATATTCATTTTCTTAATTTCACTTCCCCTTTAATACCCCCCCCCCCTTTAACTGCTGTCTGCATATTTAAATTTATGCCGGTCACTCTCTTACTTGTCTTTTTAACCCTTTAACTAGTCACAGTCGATAAGAGCAGTAACACTCTTGTTAACTAGGATATTTAATGACTCTCAATTGGCATAAAATCAATAATGGGTTAAAAAGGTTTTCCGAGGCTTTATCATGCATCAGATACCCCTCTCCCCCCCCCCATCGCAAATGAATATAATTCGAACGAAATTGGGAAATCGGGGATTTCAAAGAACAGCAGAGATGTCAATGATGCGCACACTATTAGCAAGTGCCTTGCAAGCACCGATGTATTGGGTAATTTAACCGTTTAAAGCCCGACGTGAAGAGTTTTGGTGGTGGTATCATGCGAAGGCTATAGACACGTATTGAGCACATTTCAAGTGGCAATAGCGCCATCTGATAAGCATCTACTACGAATTGAGCCCATTTTGAAAGAGGACCGTGCGGTCTTAGTGGCGTTACAGGTTTAAGCGGTCTCATTAGAGATGTCCGAAGTTAAACCTACCGCCATCCGAGTCATGAAACACAAGGCGTATAAGCACCTCATCGCAATATTCACGAGTTACAAAATTTCCCATTTAAGGAATCTGCACTTCGCTTTCAAGTCACAATATTTTTAAGTCATTCACTCATTTTTATCCACTGTGAAGATTGACATCTCAGACATAGTTTTAATACCCTCATAAGATAAACAACGCTAAGTTATAACATGATGTAAAGTTACAATATATATATATATATCCCGGTAAAGCTAATAATCTTAACATAAAATTATCGAAACAATGAATTAGTAAATATCGGCTAAATATTTCGTTGAGGATGACCAAAACAATTTTAATTTCGTGAAATAGAACTGATATTTCGAACGTTATTTATTTATTTGTTTCAAATAGAAGGCGTTTTGGGAGTTATTATTAGATCTTTAGCTGACTTCAAGCTTCACAAGTGGGATGGAGGAACATCAAAGTAACAAAAAGTCGAGGGGGAGGTGGGAGACAGAATAATGCTTCACAGATGTTAAAGAGACAGACAGACAGAAACAAAGGCAAAGAAAAGGTAAGCTGAGTACTTTGGAAGCTTTCGAATATGACGTACCGTCGGGACATGGCAGTTAGAAGTCAGAAGTCAATTGCCGGTTAATAGACTTTTTTGCCGTATGAGTATACGTTACCCAGGGTGTACCACATGGAGGTAAGTCAATCGCACTCATCAGTATTACAAATATATTTATCTATTTCAAATGGCAGGCGTTTGATAGATATCATTAGCCATTTAGCTGACTTCGGGCTTCACAGAGGGAAGGTTCATCAAAGTAGCAGAAAGTCGAGGGGTGTAGTACAGAAGAGCGATTCACAAATGTAAAAGAAGCAGACAGACACAAAGGTAGAAAAAAAGGTAAGGTGAGTACTGTGAAAGGGGACGAATATGACAACCAGGGGGGTCGTGGTAGTTTGAAGTGAGAAGTCAACTTCCGATTAATAGACTTTTTGCCGTAT